GTGGGGTGGGAACCGGGTGGAGGGGAACTATGGGGGGAAAAAAGAGGAACAACTGTAATAATCTGAACAATAAAGATTTAATTTAAAAAAGAAAAAAGAAAAATGTCCCCGGGTGAGGATTAACAATCAATAAAATAACAAAACATAACAAAATAAAATAACAAAATAACAAAATAAATAAAATAAAATGTTCATGCCCTCTGACTTAGTAATTATCTTCTGAGAGTTTGTCCTAAAGGTACAAATCATAAATGATCATTCTATTCAACAAATTAATTCAACCAACATTTAGTAAGCATCTCCTATGAGTTATTAGATATTGTTTCTCAGAAAACAACAGTGAACACAGCATGTCACTGCCATCATGAAGCTTAAATTCTGGTGAGAGATAAAGACAATAAACAAGTAAATATGTTAAAAAACATATAAAATTTATATATAAAATACATAAAAATTTCAGCTGTTGGTAGATGAAAAAAAAAAAAAGCAGTGTGTGAGAGTAAAATGATGAGAGTTAAACTTAGGAAAATCAACCAGGGAAGAAAATCTCTGAAGAGAAGTCATGAATGAAGTAAGGGTGTAGGTCTGAAAAGCAGATAGGTATCTGGGGGGAAACAAGAAACAATAAGTGCAAATGCCCTGGGGCAAGTTTTCTCAAACATTCCCCAACAGAGTCACCATCACACTGAATGTTAGTTAAGAGCCAATTGTGAGTAAGTAGATTCTGGTAAAAAAAATTGGTGAGGTTTTTGTTCGTAATCAGCTAGCAATGTTTATTGACTTTCAAAAAAAAATTCTATCTTTAATAAGAAACTTTTTTTATACTTGTAGTATTATTATAATATTATATATAGTTGGAAACAACCTACATGTTCTATAGTTGTTACTAAATTGGCTAAATACATGATAATACATTCATAAAATGAAATACTTTAAAAACAATAAAATAACATTTTAAAGTCACATTAAAATATTTAATGATATGGAAAAATGCTATTACATAAAGTGAAAAGAGAAATTTATTAAACAGTCTATATGAGCAAAATTTATTTTTAAAATATTTTCAACTATTTCTTGATAGGTCTTTATATATACAGAAAAGAATAGAAGACTACATCCCAAATATTGAGAGAGTAGTGATTATCTTTCATTGGTATGACTATGGACAATTTTTATCTTTTTTGGACTTTTCTATGTTTTCCAAATATATCAAATGTAATACTTTATAAAAATAGGGGGATAAACCCAAAAGTTATTTTCAAAGTAAATGTGTTAAAAGGTGGAATTTTGGTTTTTACCAGGAAACAAAACAAAACAGGAAACACTTGAGCTCCATTAGCTTCTTTTTTCTTTACAGCTGATTCATTTTAGGACTAGCTAAAGGGTAACTACAAAAGTTCTGGAGAAGCGATTATACTTACATTCCTGTTTGAAGGTGAAATATTCGGTAAGATGCCTGCATTCATGATTTCCCCGAAGCAGAAACAGTGTTTTGGGATGATTAATCTTTAAACTCCATAAAAACAGTACACACTACAAGACAAATACAAGCATAAAATTTTTATTTGTGACCATGACAATGCACAAAGATAACTTACATAAATTCAAATGACTTGTAATGGCATATCTTATTACTATTCCCAAGTTGAAACATGAAACCTTCAGCTTGTGAATGTAATATGCCATTGCCCTAGAATTTGACAGAGCATAGAGAATAGCCTTCATAGAAATCTCTCAATTTCTGTTTCCATGTTCTTTACAAGTACCTAGAACTCTGTGACAAAGCAACCCACACATATATAATATATAACTTACTCCTAAAACCTGTATTTTATTTAATGGAGAAATACTAGAGACATTTCCACTAAAATGAGGAACAAGGTGACCTAGCTGGTTTGTCTCAGTGGATAGAGCCTCGTCCTGAGAAATTGAAGGATTCGATTCCCATCAAGAGCATGTACTTTGGTTGCAGGCTCAATCCCCCACCCTGGTTCTGGGCATGTGCTGGAAGCAACCAATCAATGTGTTTCTCTCCCATCAATGTTTCTGTGTGTCTCTCCCCTTCTCTTCCACTTTCTCTAAAAATCAATGGAAAAATATCCTCGGGTAAGGATTAACAACAACAACAAAAAACCCCACAATAATAATAAATAAAATAAACAACCACTGGTACAATAAAATAAATAAATAAAATCAGGAACAAGGCAAAGATAAGCACTATCTCCGCTATTATTCAACACTATACTTAGAGGTATTAGTCAATGGAATTAGATAAAAGCAATCAATTAGGGGCTTAAAAATGGGTAAAGAAAAAAAAAACTACCTCTATTTGCAGATAACATAATATGATAGTATACTTGAAAAACTCCAGAAAAATCAATAAAACTCAAATAATAAAAATCAGTAACAGGGCAGAATATAAAATTAACATATAAAATCAATAACCTTCATATACACAAAATAAGTAGAACACAATGGTAGAGAAAACTCGATTTACAGTAGCAGTAAGGAAGATTAAACACATAGGAATAAATTTATGTACAAATTTCATACCAAGAAAACTTTGCAAATCTCATACCAGGAAGATTTAAAACCTTCCCAAGAGACACAAAGTAGATATAAACAAAGAGACATTTCCTATTCTTGGATAGGATGATTCAACATTAAAAGATTGCAGTTCTTCCTCATTTAACTTATAATATCATTGCAATTCCAATAAAAATATCAACAAGCTATTCTATGAAGTTTTAATTTTAGCTGATACTAAAATTTACATGAAGAAAAAAACATACAACCGTCAGGAAACACCTAGAAAAAAAAAACACTGAAAGAGAAATTATGAGGGGGACTAGCCTTACTGAATATTAAAACAGACTATAATGTTTCTACAATTAAAGCAATGGTACTAGCATATATATAAATATACCAGTGGAATAAAATAGTCCAGAAATTAATGTGAGTACATATAAATTTGGTGTATAGTAAGGGTGGCATCCTAAATTACTAAAATAATGATGTACTTAATGTCTCTGGGACAACTGGTCACATTTCAAAAAAACCATTAGATCCCTATCCTATCTAATAAAAGAGAAACATGGTAATTAGCCGTACATCCGCTACCCTTCCCATTGGCTAATCAGGGCGATATGCAAATTAACTGCCAGCCAAGATGGCGGCCGGCAGCCACGCACTGAAGCGAACAGGGAGGCTTGCTTGCTCCAGTGACGGCGGACTCCAACGTTCCCCGCCTGACTTGCCGGCCTCTCAGCTGCAACTCTAAGCAACTATGTTACAAATATAGAAGCTAAACAAAACCCCAGAAACCTGCTATAGTCAGCTGGGCTTCAGCCAGCCGGACCGCAACATTGTATCAAATACAGAAGGTAAACAAAGGCCAGAAACCTGCTTTCAGCAGCCGAGGCC